CATCATGCTAAGCACAAGCCATAATTTCAAAATCATGATCAGTGGGTTCCCATAAGAAGCATGGTAAGGAGCCTAGATATGACTCAGAGAACATGGGATAGTGGCTCAAAGACTGAACTAGGAGAGGGGGACTCAGGCTGTCCACTTTCAGCCATTAAAGCTCACTGGGTGACTTGGGGCCAGTTATGGTCTAACTCACAGTGCCTTTGGTGGTGGTGGTGGTGGGGAATTAGAGGAAAGAATGCTGTGTATTCCTGAAGAAAGGTGGGATATATATCTAACAAATAAATAAAATACAGTTGCAATTCAACTTTAATTTGAAATGTGCGGATCAAGTTGCTTCAATAAGAAACTTATAGCACCTACACAAAAGTCCATCAAAGTCTAAACCTACTTGAAGGCACCCACTTAACCGTCACTTTGAATTGATTCAACAACTCAGTTCAAAGAGTTGATTTGAAAGATGATTTGATCCAATTGCCTTGCAACTAACATATTCTAATGGTATGCAGGAACAACCTTGGGAGACAGGAGGAAGAGCTGCAGACTAGGCAAGGGTCAGATAAGAGGCAGCTGAGCCCATAGAAGGAATAGGGGTGTGGCAAACGTCTCAGAAGGGACCCTCCCTAGTTTGTTGGACTATAAAGGCAAGGGGGGAGAGATGTACGTTCAGACTTGTAAGATTCTGTTAATGTAATATTACAATAAAGATAGAGCTAATACTTCTGGATGTGCTTCTTGTCTGGATTACCTTGCAAGGCTGACGCATATGAAGCCAATAGCAAACAAACCACATTATGGCTTAGTGCAATGTGAAAGCTCAAGCACAGAATGAGGAAAGTATCAGATAATGTAAGTAACATTTTAATTGAAGCTCAGAGGGAACTAAAATATAGGATCTATAAATGTGAAGGAGAAGTTTGGCACAGAGAAAAGAAGTTGTAAATAAGTTTAACTGTTGCTAGTCTAACGTCTAATTCCTTATGCTCCCACTGCCTGCCATTACCATTTTTGAAGTGGTAATAAAACGCCTAGCCAAGACCAGCCATGCCATACACTGATTCTCAGAAATGAACCTCACCCAGAGGCATCCATAGGATCTATCTCTTTCATAAAAAAGACAAAAGTAGCACTGCGCCATAAATTTCATCCCTTTCATACATGCACATATTGTCACAGTGCACATACAAAAGGGCTAAGGCTTGCATCACATTGGCACTATGCTACTTTTGTCATTTCTTCCCCTTGACTCCACATTGATGCCACTGACCCCATCTCTAACACATGACCATTGGAGTCAACATTACCTGAAAGATATTCTGAAACTACTAACTCAGAGGATGCTCAGCCAAGGACTTCACAGTACTTAAGGTACCCAAACTGCTCCTTTAACATTAATTCTGATTGCTTGTCAGAAAATGGTTCTTTGCTATTTTTTTGGCTTCAAACAGTTTCACCATGTAGATCCTCAAAGGTCACAATAATAAGCCACTGACAGTTTCACCCAACTATATTTGACCTTACAGATAACTAGTAAAATCCTGTTAAGTGGAAAGGAGTGCTTTATTGTAGATCAGATGCCACTATATAGAAGAACAAGGAGTAGCATGGCTATGTATATGACCAACTTAAGATCTAAATATGACTTTAAAAGACACTTATAAGTTTTTGAAAGCTGATCATGCCTATCCATACTTGAATAGGAGAAACAGAATGTGACAGATTATGTTTGATAAAATTCCACACTGGTACAGGTAGTCCTCAACTTATGACCACAATTGGGACCAGAATTTCTGTTGCTAAGCAATGTGGTCATAAAGTGCAATGTCACGTGGCCGCATTGCTTAGCAACGACAATCAAGGCAGTCCCTGTTGCTGTCATAACCCCAAGACATGCAGGTCATTAAGCAGGAAGAGGTGGGGGTCCCAGGTAAGGAGCATGGGGGAGCCACAGGGGATGGTAGAGGCCGGGGGGGCTGGCACAGGCTGTGCACAAGTTGGGGGGGGGTGCTGCAGTACAGCACAAGTTCAGGAAGGCCAGGCTAAGAATATGCTGTGCCTCAGGTGCTCCTTTGTGTGCTGTGGCTCTGGGGTTGTGAGCTTTTTGCAGCTCCGGAACTGTGGTCCACCAGGAAGCCCCTTTGCACTGTGTGAAGTCCAGCCTAGCCCAGCAGCGTGGCACAAAGCCGCCATGCCCCAGGAAGTCCCAACAGCGTGGTGCAAAGCTGCCACCCCAACCTAGTCGCAGCTGCAGTTGCCCTCACCACCCTGCACTCCGAGGCCCCTGCCGCCCTGTGCTCCACTGCCCCAGCTGACCGCCATCTTCTTGCTCCCACTGCTGATGAGGCATACCCGCCCTGGCCCTTCATGAGGCAGCTGCTGGCCACATGAGGCCATCTTCTCCAGATCTCACAAGGAAACCACCGTGTGCAACCTTGGGAAGAAAGCCTCATGTGGCCAGCAGCTGCCTCGCAAAGGGCCAGGCTGGGCATGCTTGGTCACTAGTGGGAGCAAGAAAACAGCAGTCAGCTAGAGCGGCAGGGGCTGCAGAATGCAGGAGGCCAAAAGGGCATAGATGGGTGATATAAGTGAGTGAGGGGAGTTGAAGTGCCCCCACAGTTGTAAGTGCGTGGGCTGCCAAGCACCCAAATTTTGATCACATGATCATGGGGGGGGGGGTGCTGCAACAGCCATAACTTTGGGGACCAGTCATAAGTCCCTTTGTTCAGTGCCATTGTAACTTCAAATAGTCACTGAATGAATGGTTCTAAGTTGCGGATTACCTGTATTTATCTAAAGCAGACACTATCTAGTGAAAAAACATTACCTCCTGCATGGTTGTACCACAGTAGTGTTAAGATTAAAAGTCTTCTTGAAATTGTACAGGCTGAAAACTCTGTCATTTAAGCTATCTAATTCAATGCAGCCTTCATAATGTGGGTAGTCCAGTGTACTTGGAGGCTGTAAAAATAAGAACATTCTTCAAGCAAAAACAACAGCATATTTCAATAATGCTTAATACTGTATAAACATAGCAACTGCATTTCTCATGAGATTCTGTAGCCCAAGCTGCACCGTCATGAATGCATTGCACAGACCCAACCATTACAAGTACATTCAGAATTCCATGTCCTGAAAATTCCAGTTTTCAATTAAAAGAACTTAAAAACAAAGGTTCTGGTTTTTAAGGTTGCAAAAATAAGTTTGAATAGTTGGGATTTACTGATTTGCTAAACGTTTGGTGTAATAACTAAAAATCTCAAAGAAAGCTAGAGAGACTCCGTTTCAAAATCTCCATCCAGATATTAAGATTACTTTGGGGCACTTCCACACAGTATTCCTCTATTCCTCCAACCTATTTTGAAGTCAACCCTGCAGTTATCTTCATTCTTCAGAATGAAGAAAATAGGCAAGGAAGATCATGAGACAATTGGTATTTATTCTTCAGCTGATCAATAGCTGTGCAAAATGAATTATTCCCTCAGTGTCCCACCCTAAACTATTGCAATTTGTGGAGGAACAAAACCCCATCACCCTCTCTGTCATGCAAAAAGGAAATAAAATAAATTGTGAGCACTCCTTCCACCTAGTACACATGTTTCATTAGTTGCAAAATGAAGAAAAAAACACAATGGGGCATTTCTCACAGGGATAAAGGCCTGGCTCTTAAGCTGTCATTCCTACAACATAGGAAATCTGACTGAGGCCTGTGAAGGTAGTATGGTATCATGTCAAGTTTGCAATCAAGTGCTTCTCACAAAGCCTCTAACCGTAACTGTAGGCTAGATGGTAAATGAAGTGGGAGAAAGGAGATGATAAATCCTAAAAAACAGACACTAGGAATAGGATGCTGAAGATGCCTTCTGGGGGCAGGGGAGGGGGAGAGAGAAGGAGAGAATGTTCTAAAATAACCAAAATGCCCTCACCCCTGACTCAGTACATTAAGGAAATAAATAAAGTTACTAGCACTCACAAAATGAAGTCACTTGGAGCGGAAAAAAGAACTTCCTTGCACCCCACTAAGTCTGAGCATTGCATTCCTGCTAACAACTTTCAGAAAAAAGCAAGAAAACAGGCAATACTCCAGTTACTGGTAGATGGTATTTTAACCCTTTTTTAACATGGGATGATAATTTTTTGTACTGGTCTAAGACCATAATAAATTGACTGAATAATTGGTTACAAATTTATGGAAAAGACGGTTAAAGAATGTTTACTGAAATATGTAAAGAATCCCAGAGTCTTATAATGCATTCATCCAAGTTGCAGATGGGTAATTTTTAGGTTGATCAAGCTGAATTTTCTTTGAAAACATTAAAGTTAAATATTGGGAAAGTAATGAAGAAGCTGGTAATTTATTAGCACATCATTTAAAATGAAAGAAACACCGAAATATAATCTCTGAAATTTTAACAAACAATGGGAGGAGAATCACAGATATTCAATGTATTAATTTACAATTTTTCAGTTCTATAAGCAATTTTATAACCTTGACAGTATGATAGATTAACAGCCAATGAGTAATATTTTGAGCGACATTGATATTCAACTGTTACCACAGGATTGTGTGGGGATTTTGAAAGCAGCTTTGAAACTTAAAGTGATATTAGAGACAATTCAACTGATGAAAAACAGAGAGCCTCCAGCCCAGATGATTTTTCTGTTAAATGGTATAAATACCTTATAGATCTTTTGGCCCCAGTATTATAAGAGGTTTATAATAAATAATTTCAGTATGATTAATTGCCTTTATCTTTTTATGAGGCTTACATAACATTGATTTTAAAACCAGGTAAAGATTCTAAATTCTATGCAAAGGTATAGACCCATATTATTAATTAAGGTAGATATTGGGGTCACTTCTGGTGAGGAATGGCAAACTGATGTTCCATAGATCTGTGATGGAATGGGATGAGAGGGGTCAAGGACAGAAGCATCTCCTCAGCCCACAGTGTGAGCATGGGAAAGCGAAGAAGATGAGACTTGCACCACCCTAAGGAATTTGTAGTGCTTAGTTGCTGGCTTGGGGAGTTTAGAGTTAGTATGGCGAGATTCTCTCTAGCAGGTGTGAGTTAATAAAGTAACTGAGCTGTTCCACCTCACCTCCATATTTTTCAGGCATGCTTCCAGAAGAACACAACAACAACGAGGGGCCGCTGCAACATTCTGCCCAGCCTGCCCGAGTTGTTGGGCCATTTGGGCCATTGCTTCTTGTAAATTATTTATCTGGGCATCGACTTGTTGTTGATGTTGTAATAAAGCCACCGCCAAAACCTGTGGTGTCAAACCAGCCCCCTGGGGATCTGTTGCCATACTTCAAAATTCCTTCCTCTCAACAGGAGTAGTGAGTCTGGTAAGACTGATGTCAGGTTAAGCCCAAGAAACTCCATGAGACAGTTCTGGAACAGCTCAGTTACTTTGAATGAAGAAGTACTTGGTTGTATTTTAAGAGACAGTGATAAGTTATTAATGTTGACTATATTTGCCGGGGATGAAGGGGGAAGTTTCTTCTATTTTTTTTTTCTTCCTTTTTTATTTTTTCTTGTTTTGTTTTTTCTCTGCACTTTTAAATTTTTTAAAAATAAAAATATATACTTTTTATTATTTTTAAATTTTTTAAATGTATTTCTGTATTAGGTTATTGTATTAGTTTTACTTGTTTAATATAATCCTTAATAAAATTATTTGAAAAAAAATTAAGGTAGATACTATTAACTGTTTTGTTGGCTAGATGACTGCAGTGAGTGTTACCATACATAATTTATCCATCTCAGTCCAGATTTATTAAAACTAGACAAGCATCAGATAATTGACATTTATTAACAGATATTAACAGATAAAGATTAGATTGTGCTGTATTAATATCTTTAGAAGCTGAAAAAGCTTTTGGAATGGTTCAGATTAATTTTCTAAAGCAAGTTATGTGTAGATATGGATTTCCACCTTCTTTTATTATATGGATTGCAATTTACTATTTAAGAGCCAGTTTGGTATAGTGATTAAAGGTACTAGAAACTGGGAGTCCATGAGTTGTAGTCCTACCTTAGGCATGAAGCCAGCTAGGAGACTGTCTCTAAGCCCTGGGAAGAAGGCAAACCACTTCCAAACATGTTGCCAAGAAAACTCCATGGACTTGTCCATGTAGTTGCCAGGAGTGAAGACTGAGTCAAAGGCACATATACACACACACAAAATTTATTATTTGCAACCAACTGCAGGAGTAAACAAATCAGTTAATTTCTCAACCCACTGATTTATAGCGTGGCACCCATCAGTATTGTCTACTTTCTCTGTTGCTTTTTTATTTATTTCTTGAACCATTAGCCGTTTGTATTAGGCAATCTTGTAATATTATTGCTATTCCATTGGTGGTTTCTAAGTATAAATAATTTTTATATACTGATGACATTTTGGCAATACTGGATAATTACTTTACTGCCTACCTGGATACAGTGATTCAACAATTTGGTAAATATTTATATTATAAGATTAATTAGGAAAAATCTAATTTATTTCCTTTGGGATCTATATTAATAGATCAATATAAGAGGTTGGGTTTTGTCAACTGAACAGAATATATTAACTATTTAGGATTTTATATTTCCAAAGAATTCCAAATTATATGGAAATCAATGTTAAATGCCTTAGACAAGATTGCCATGAATTTTAATAGATGGATTAAAATTGCATTAAGTTGGTGGGGAAAAATTAATATTATTAAAATTAATATTACCTCCTGATTATTTATATGGAATTAGAATTTAACTGAGTATCAACCTTTATAGGCTGTACTGGAAATTCATTAGTTATTTCTGTTAAGATTTTGGCAATTACTTGGATTAACCTACAGCAAAAAGAGTCTTTCATTTCCTAGTTGGAGACAGCTAGATACATTTGGGCTTTACTGGGACATAGATCGAATTCGGATGCTGAGTCTCTATTTAACTTTATGGAATAATTCTACTCTAAAGATAGGTGGTAAGATATTCTATTGGAAAGTATAGGCGGAGTCTGGAATAGTAATTTTAAATCAATTACTTTGTAATTATTATTTCAAGGAATTTCAGTGACTTCTGACAGATTTTTTTTTTTTTTTGCCTAATACACCACAGTGACAATATAATCAACTCAAACATGCCTTGACCAGATGTTTCAGATGCTTCAAAGCAACTGAAATATTCTTGTTTTGATGCATTCTGCTTCTGAAACCAAATTGACCTTGTATTTATATCAAAGGCTTAAAAATATGTTAGGCTTGACAACTCTATAAACTCTTTCACCTTTTTCTATAACTCCAAAAGCCAAACAAATCATGGAAAGTGACTAATCTGTTCCATTTTCAAAATTTCATTTCTCTGTTTCAAACTGGATAATGTCCGACACAGAATTTGACCAAAAATAAACAAGAAACCAACAAACCTCTCAAGGCATATCCTTCAGTGGAGGTATTATTTCCAAATACTTTTTCCTAAGAAACTACAATATGATAAAATTATGAGAAGTGCCTTTCATCTGCAGCTTGGGAAACCATCAGCCTTTTTCTTTTTTGGTAATGTTTTGTATAGCTTTTATGTCTTTTGTAATTTTATATGTATTTATTATTTTAATGGATCATGTGGGCTGCCCAGAGTCCCCCATTAGGGGGAGATGGGCGGAGATAAATTTAATAAATAAATAAATAAATAAGTGTCATCTATTGGCTTACAAAAAAACCAAAATATGATCTAACCATTTTGTTCTAATATTTACATAAGACACAAACCCATTACCGTAAATTCTGATGGATATCCTCCCACATAGAAGACCACATTATCAGGATCCAAGTTAAGAAGAGTGTTACTATTCCTACTGGGGACATTAAAAGGTTCATAGTTGACTGATAAATCAGAGGGTGCAGCACGCTTGTATTCTACTTCTGCATACTGGTAAATTCTAGAGAAAAAGAAAAAAAATGCATAAAACTGAAAGGTCTCTCAATATGAGTTCAAAATAATTGGAAGAGTTTTATTTTAAGGGTCCATACCTCTTAAATGTGATTTGATCCAAAACTACTTCTCTGGTCTTTTTCTCATATACTTTTTCGGTCACTTCTATTTCAGCTTCGTTGCCTCCTAGGTTATAGGCGCAAATAAGCCGACCACCACGAATAGCCATACCTATATAGTTGCTGGAACTCTGAATATGAAAGCTTAAGTTAATTATTCAGATGACTGCTTTATATTGTACAATCCTTTTTAAAAATCATCAAACATAGCACCAGCAAAGGAGGGGTATGCAAGCAAGATCAGCAGGGCAGATGCTTGTTTTCAATTTTTCTTGATGTGCTGAGATTCCAAACAAAGTGTGCTACTTCAGCTTGTGTTCACCCTGGGATGGAAGCTGCCTTAGAAATAATTCTAAATTCATAGTAGATGCTCAAGGCAATTGAATGGCACAAATCCTTCAAGGAACCCTGAACGGGTGTTTGCAGCCCTCTAATTATCTGCTAGAAAATTCTAGCCCCCAAATTCAGGATTCCATAGGTTAAATCCTTTCCATTGATGTATAGTATATGTATATATACAGTACATGCACAAGCATACATATATTAAACCCTGATTAACAGACTAATAGGTGAAGGGGTACCCGTTTCAGCCAATGTCCATTAAAAGGTGAATGGGATTTATGTATGTCTAAAATGTTCATATACTTTCATAATGTATGCAATACATACATTGTCCAAATCTTCACACGAAACAGGCACACACACACACACACACACACACACACATTTAAAACACCTACATTCTAAGAATCAATTAGTAGAATTATAACAGGACAGGGAATTAACAGAAATAATTCATGACAGTACACATTTGCTGCTTTTAGAAAGTAATTATGTGGCTCCTTTAACATAATGACAGGAGCTTGGCTCTATTTTTAGCCATAACTCCATTTATTTCCTGCATTAAAGACACATTTGGAAGATAATTTTGACCCTTATTCACATGATAAATCCCAGTTTGAAAATATCAGGTAAATTATTTGGGGGAGGCGAGGGAAGTGATGCATAAATATGGGTATTAATACTTTAGATCAGCTTATTGTTTAGTGGCTGAAATTGGTGAAACATTATCAATGATACTCAAGTCAAAGAAAACTCTTAGGTAAACATGGACAGATGTTTCAAGGCCCAGAACAGAGTAAGTATGTTGATTCAGAAGAGTAGAGGAAAAGGTTTAGGATTTAAAACCCAAGTCTGTCAGATGCACGTAAAGATTAATTTCTGCATTCTGCAGTAGACCGACTTTTTGTATACATATGATTTCTTTCTTGTCTGCAATAAATCAACTTATCTAGCTATATACTATCTTTCAAGCTTCTCAGTTCCTAAATTGAATTTCTGGAGAGTTGAATTTCTGGAGAATCAATATTTATTGCCATGCCCGGTGAGATCTGACAACTGCCTATCAAGTTTTTAAACCATTTAGTAATTGCAAGAGGAATATGGATTGCCAGAAATCTGAAATGCCAGTACACTCAATTAAAACTTATCTTGATTTCATTGCTTGGTCCAGATGCATTATCAGCATCTAACATTCACAAATTACTATCAACACTGGAATGTGTTTTGTATGATTCTAAATCATTTGTGTGTGAGTGTGTGTGTGTGTGTGGGTGTGGGTGTGTATGTATGTATGGGGAGCCAGTTGGTGCAGTGGTTAAGGCACCAGCAAAGAAACCGGGAGACTGTGAATTCTAACCCTCCCTTAGGCACAAAGTCAACTGAGCAATGACTAGTCCAGGAAGTCGCCAGGAGTCAACACTGACTCAAATATGATTTAGAATAGTTCAAAATTAAATTAGAGTATCTAACAAGTATTAAAGCAACACTAAAAAGTATTAAAGAGTATCAATAAAGCTGGTATTAGTTATTTGCAAGAACTCTGGAATAAAGAGTTGGAATATCCCATGCTAACAAATCAGTAGCTATGGATATTTAGGATGTTTCCTATGAACTTAAGGTGACACTTATTCAACAAAAAATATTTCCCCCACATTTACTGGACACCTCAGAGAACATTTAAAAACAACTGGCTAGCAATCTCCTTGCAAATGTAAAATGGGTGAGGGGTCACTTAGTCATATGATATGTGTCTGTCAACTATTTCCCTATTTTGGTTTAATATCCATAAGTTATTTAATATACTATTAGAAAGATTAATACTGTTTAAAATTGTGAATATGCTTCTGAATTATAAACCAGAAACTTAGAATTTATCACTATATGAAGAATTGCGGATTCATCAAGGATGAATGGCAGAAAACAAGATTACACTTCAATATTTAAAAGACAGAGCCATTCCATTTTTTAAATTCTGGAACACTGATATGTTGTTTGTTTTCCATTTATAAACTGGCTTTCTACTGATATAATCATAATATTGATTGCTATTATTTCACATGATCATCAAGGATGTATTTAAAAATTAAACTGAATGATTTTCTGTATGTAATATCATTTTATTTATTGTTTTTTTTTCTCTCTGTTTTTGATTCTCTCCTCTTTTTCTTGTTTTGTTTTCTGTTCTTTTTCCTCTTCTTCTTTGGCATATTAAGGTTAAGCAATTTTAAAAATGCTGCCCCAAATTAAACAACAGTAAATAAGGCACCCAGTGCCGTGTTCAAAGATATTGTACTTCCAGCTCATATGCAGCAGAGCAATCCAAAATAGGATACTTTTCTTTATATTTCTAAGGGCTCTCAATTTTCTCCTTTCATGGCTAATCCAAATACAGACTAGTATATGATCAAGACTTAGTCCAGAGGCCTCTTGGGAGAATGAAGAGCTTTTAGAGACAGCAGAATCCAATAACTTAAAAGTTCTGGACTGGGCCCACTGCTAGTGAAAACATCAATGACTGTATTCTTACACCCATGACATTTTCCACAGGTGGAGGGGATGGTCTCTGCAACAGACAGAATGCCTCACCTCACCTCAAATGTATTTAATTACGGTCAACGACCAGCAAGGTTAAAAGAAAAAAAAAATCTCAAAAACAATGTTAAAATACTGCTAAGACAGTCATATGAAACCTAAAAGATTTAGACTTAAAACCAGAGTAGGAGAAAAACTGAATAAAATACGGTAAAACAATATAAATATTGGTTATAGATTTATGATTTTTTTTCAGTAATAAATGGCTCAGTAAGAAATAATCAATACCTACATCTTTGTTACCCAGGTACATGACAAACATGTTGGGCGTTTGCCGTGGTGTCCTGTCCTCCTGTTCATGAGGTCTTTGCAGAAATAAAGAAAGGGAAGTGTAGCCCTTCAGATCATCCAGGATATCTGGAAGTCGAACTTCAACTCCCGATTTGCCATCGAATTTCATCGGGATAGCAACCTAAAACAATGTTTGTAAGTAATTACAAACTTATGTAGGAAGCAAAGCAAAGCACCGGCTTACGTAGGTTTCAGCAAGCCATACCATATTCATATCATGCTTAAACAATTCAGCCAGCTTGGACTTTCACAGTTATGTGAATATTACTCCTATCTCCATCGGCCTGACCCATGTAGGTATCCAAAATAAAATACTTTTGAGAAAAGACAGAGAAAAATATTTGGGTAAGTATGTAAGAATAATTTAAAAAAAGGAAGCAAGAAAAATTTTGCCACACACCTTATTTGCAGCATCTCTGGCTTGCTGGATGAGCTCTCTGATGCGATTTATATTTTCAGTTATATTGCTTGTTGATATGACTTGCTGGTTGATATTTGTAATCTTGGTAAACAGATCTGGGAGCATGCTTGTTAAATTATTTACTGTTGAAAGCATTTTAAAATGAGGGAGAAATATAGGATATTACATATAACAATATAAAATACAGATTGCCTAGTTTACACATTTAATTATTGAAATTATTGCTGAAGTAACTGGAAACTTAATTTTTAGTTATTAACAATAAACTAGTTTAATTACTTGTTAATTATTAGCCCCGAGTGGAAACAGAAAGGGAAAATGATAATTGACCAGCTTGCCAGAGACTTGTCCTATTTTGTTTGCAAGAACGCAAACTACTGTAGAAGGAATATAGCTAAGCTGTTAAGCTTAAACATATAGGAAGCCTTTTCCAATCTTTCACATCCTCCAAATGTCTTGAACTACAGAAGTTATTCACCCATACCCAACATTCAGGGTGATGGAACTTGAAATCAACTTACCTGAATACCCACTGGAAAGTAGAATTATTATTTTGGAGGAAACATGACTAGAATTTTACCATAAGCCCAATAATCACTACAGCTCTCTAACAGTGTTATAGAACAGAAAGTTGAACTTCTTCTTATATACAAAATGGGGCTGATGCAGGAATTGACAGTCCTGTATCACTGACTTGCTTCACCGTAACAAGTTCAACCTATCCTGTGACCTGATTCCTGAAATCATTACAAGCTGTATTCCCAACAGTTCCAACCCAATGACTTTGCCATTAAGGAGGGGGAAGGGGGATTCAAGTATCTTTGCTACTGCTTGAGTTTAATCAAAGTCTTAGACTCTATATTCAGATATCCTAGAGCTGTCTTCCTTATACCTATGCCATTTAGGTTTTGACAGGAATTACAGTGGTACCTCGGGATACGAACTTAATCCGTTCCGTGACTCTGGTTGCAACTC